GTGTGCTCACTTTTTACTCCCCAAACGCTCGGAATTTTCTAAGAGTGTGCCGCAGTTGCAAGAAAACATGCACCTGTTTGTCCTCTTTCCCTCAATTATGAGTTATTTTGGTGAGTGTGATCATGAAATCCTTAGTCATTTGCAACTGTTTCGATTCACAGTGTGTAGCGTATCTTGTGAGTTTTTATTTTCTCATGCACCTGGACTTCGAAATCAGATCAAGGTTTCTCGCCTATCAAAAACGAATACAAACTTTAAACCTAAACAAAATCTAAACTTATTCTATCTTTGACGGAATTGTTTCGCGCGAAGCAGCCGATCGTAGCCTGTGATTTCTCACTTCGGTCTCAAATTAAGTTTTGACTCAGAATAAAGTCATAAGACTCGAGTCTCGTCCTATCATCGATCGACGTTAAATAATTTTTTTAAAATGCCGATTGGTTATTCACATTATCTCTCATTTTGATGCAGTCTAAAATACAATCATGTCATTACAATTACGATCATCCAGATCATCGCAATCACCGCACATCGTGTGTTGGCTCGTACGCTCGGTTTTCTGAATAAAGGTTCCTGCTTCTTCCGGGCGTTGTGAATTTTCAAATCGTGATCGGACATTCGAAGACGAAGGAAAGGCCGGCAATCGTCCAAGGAATTCGGAAACTTGGTCATGGAAATCTTTTGAGTCCCATCTGCATTTGGAGCATGTGTTTCTACTGGGGATGGCCTGTAGTACCAAGTTGGGGTGATATCAATCGCACACGTTGGGGCGTCGTTGGGACGTCCGGCCAACATCAGAGGCTGACGCCAGAAAACGACATTCAAGCGCTCAGATGAGGACTGCAGGAGCCCTCTTCGGTCCTATGACTTTTCGGTCCCCTTCCGGGTCTTACCCCACTTCCCCAGGCTGTCTCCGTCCTGCTGGGAGAGCTCCGGCGAGGACAACCTCCCTGTCTCCGTCCGAGGGGAGTCTATCACTTTCCTCGGCGAAAATAAAACAATTAGGACCTCATGCATCGCTCATCCAATTCATCCTTTGCTCTGGATGTGGTTGCCAGGTAGGACCCTATGGGTGAACCCTTTAATCGATCTTGAATTGAGTTTGAATTTTCAACAGGAAACTCATAAAGTCAATAATATCGTGATCATTCTGGCGCCATCTCACTTCAATTTTGGGAACTTCGTTCTCCCGAGTGATTAGGATAGGTGACTCGCCAACAGATAGGACGAATATTGACTACAGCACTAAAGCCGATGCGGGGCCCACTGGCACTTGCACATCGACATTCCCAGTCAATGTGGGTACCATATCTTGCCTATAGCATTCAGTTCCTGAATGCTTCCATGAAAACTTGGTAAAGAAATTAAATTAGTTCATCAAGAATTAAAATTTAAATGAAACCTATCTCCATTAACTGTTCTCTCTTGCAAAACAAATATGAAGCAGAAGCTGTGCAAATCTCGATTTCTCGATCAAAGCTACTGAATGATTGGCCATCCCTCAGGAGAAATGGACATGATTTCAAATCCGCTCCCGGCATCGAGGCGGTCGTGAACTTGGGCGCGACAGAGTGACGCCACCAGGATGCGTATATAAAGGTCCACAGGGACTCTTCGGCTCACTTGTTCTTCAGCAGCAATCGTCCTTCCGCCTCGGAAGGACGATTTCTCGCTCTACCTTCTCCTGACGCGCACACGGTCTTCCCTTGCGATATGTCTCCCCCCGCTCCCCTAGCGTAATCTTTCTCATTCGTCGGTATTCCATCGTAGCCACTCTTGGCTTCTCGCTGGCGTATTCGGTGGGTAGGGACAACGGCATGGATCAGGGTGATTAGTTTCGGTCTTAATGAAGTGGAAATACTGACGTGGTTTTTTTGGTTTTGGGTCTTTTATCGTAACGGCAGAATAGAGAAGCTGGCATCTTGTGCCTTCGAAAATTCTCTGGACGAGCATTTTCTATTCTTGATGAAGCAAGCACTGACACGTTTAGGTCCGAATTGCGAGACTGAAAAATGTCTTCGCGTGGTCACATGGAGCTGTAATCCTTCATACTGACTTATCGATTGATTCGATTATCAGTTGATATGTATCCATCAGGGCTGGACTTTGTCAACAAATTCAAACCTTCCTCATTACTTAGAAAAAGAAAGAAAATCCTGTAGCCAACGAGTACGAATCGACTCTTCACCTCAACCATCATTCCACAAAAATATTAGTTTTCGAAGGAAATAAAGAAGACACTTAGTTTAAGAATAATTTTCGTTCCGATAAATTATTATTCAGAAAAATCAAATCAATCATGGCAATCCCTATATCTCCTAGCAGGGATTTCTCTTTCCCCTGCGGATTTTTCTCTTCCCAGGAAGACTTGTAAGGCGGAATTCGTTCATAGCGTCCCGTTCATTGTCACGCTGAAACCGCTGTAATTCCTCCCACCATCCTCTTATCTCGTCTGATCGAGGTGATCCGAGCTAAATGCGCCCTCGCTTCTCGAGGCGAAAGTGCCCAATGCTCCGGGGTCGTAAACGTAAACACCGAGGTTTGGAACCCGGGTTGCCTGCCGGAGACTCTCCCGCGTGACGTCACGTGGATGGGTTTTCCTGAACGCGTCTCCCGCGCACGTCAATGAGGCTCCTTATTGCTTTGTCCGACTTGACGAAAATCGAGATTCGTGGGAAAAAAAAGGCGGAAAATGGATCGATGCAACCAGCGGATCGATGAGAGCACGCAAAGGTTGAATGAAATTTCCGTGGGATCGCCTGTAATTTATTCGCCGATGAGAGAAAATTGGCATCGGCACACGGTGATGGAGCGCCGTCGTTGAAAGGACTGGGCAGGATTCTGATGAGGGGGGAAAGGGGGGTAGGGGGGGGAGACGGTGTCAATTTGCATAGAATGGGTTACTTTAATTCGACAATTTCCCAGGGAGGATGAGGAACAACCGGGCATTATCGCGTGGGAATGCGAACGAATGGGACCGCGTCGATCAATCCGTGGATGGTCAATCCATGATATTAATATGTTGCAGTCAGCAGAGTTGACCAGTCACTAGTACTCGTCGGAAAAGGGTGTGTTGGCGGGGGGAGGACTGAAGTTCGCACAATGTTATTTTGCTTAGTGCTGGCGGCTTTCTTCCTGGTGTCGGTGACTGAGGCAGGTCGGAATACATTTTTTTTTCTATATTAGGCATTGTAAGAGAGATGTTCGTAATCCTTAGAAGGCGAGATGGTCCTAAAATGGCGATGGATTCCACTGTTTAGAAAATATTTTTGTTTAACACAGGGAATTCGTAAATTGTCAGAATTTCGTCTTTTACTCTCATAGACGTCCAATCCACTACATTTCACCTGCTGAAGCAAGACGCGAAACTGTGGCCCCTGGCAGGAACCGGGAGGGATTGGGTGAAGACGAGGAACGCGGTGGATTGCGGCTCCATCTGCCATTCCCTTCGACCGATTTGCAATGCATTCAACTGGCATCCTGGAAATTTCACCTGTGAGTTCGTTAAAACTCCGAACGTCACGTTGCAAGATGCCCCTGGTGCGATGGTCTACGTCAATTGTGAGTTTACATCAATTCAATCCATCGTATTAATATTTCAGATTCCTAAATTCCATGTTAGTTTTCTCATTTAATCTCTGCAGCATCCAGCGTTTGCGAGACGCCTCCTCCTCCGATGGCGAATCGAACGCTGAATTTCTCTCACGGATGGAACGGCAGCCTCCCGGCGCCCTTGCTCTCGGAAGTCTCGTATGACTGCCCGCGGCATTCCCGTTGTCCACCTCCTCTCCCCCTCAAGGCCAAATGCGTCGGCTTCAACGCTTGGGAAATCTTGAATCTGAACGTCACGCCGCCCTGCGCGGGAACCGGTGCGCTTCATTACCCATTTTTGAGATATATTTATTTGAGATTCCCGTGTTTAAATAAGTATTTCCATATCAGTTCCTCTAGCAGAAGGCTACCGCCTGTTTCTGGAAGACGGCCGATTTTACAAGCGCTACCAGGGGCCAATGAACAGGACTGAGGCGAGCCAGGTCTGCTGTGTGGATGGAGCCCGACTCGCTTCCGACACGAACGTGACGGTCTACTCGGCGATCAGAAGTGTCGCCCCCAACACCACCGAGGCCATCGTTCAAGGCGCCACTGACGAACTCGTGGAAGGCACGTGGATATACGAAGACCCAAGTGAGTCAAAATACATCGTATTCGATTTCATCATTGAGAAAATGATTTTAAATCGGCCAATATGAAAATTTTCCTTTGCATCATCCGCAATATCCATTCGCCTTCGGTCCGATATCGCTTAATGCAGGCCAGGTTCGCCGTCAAGCTAGATCATCTACCTTACTAATGAGCGTAAGTGTCTGTGCGTAGTCGCTTCTCCTGCTAGACGGTTTGATCCCTGACCCTGAAACTTTAAACTTAGGCTTCCTAGGGGTGGGGCATCAGGACGACGGAGTTTGGTGGCCCTGCCACCGGTGGGTCGCTGGGCCACCTTGGGTCACCACTGTCATTTTTCGTTCAAATAATACGATTTTTTGTGTGTAGAAATCATTCAGCAGCCTGAGTTCGCCAGTCAGGTCCATTTTTCTTCATGACCTTTCACCTTTGAGATATTAGAGGTCAAAGGTCAACAAATCATGGTCATTTTGCCGGTCAAGCCGTGCACTCCAAGCCTTGCAATTTTACATTCCAGGTCGTGGAGGATTTCCACACTCGATGCTACATTAAATGAAACAAAAAAATTGCTACTTAGCCCGTGTGTACAGGGTAAGTTATGTGTGCAGGGTGTTTTGGGTCACTGGGCCGCTTAGGGTCATCCAAATAATATGCTTCTTTGTGAGTAGGAGTCATTCAACAGCCTGAGTTCGCCAGACAAGTTCATTTTTCAATGTGACCTTTCGCCTTTGTGATATTAGAGGTCTAAAGTAGCCATTTAAGAGTCATTTTATCGGCCAAGTCAACCCATTTCTATCCCTCAAGTACAACTGTCACATCAACGTGGAAATCTGCGCCACCGTCAAAGGGGTTAAGTATCTTTTTAAATATGTCTATAAGGGGCACGATTGTGCCAACGTAGAATTCACAGACAAAAATGTCTTGATTCATGACGAAATCAAGTCGTTTATGGATTCCCGCTATGTAAGTGCCCCAGAAAGCATATGGAGACTTTTCGGTTTTCATATGCATGAGCAGTCTCATCCAATTGTACGATTGGCTGTACATCTGGAAAATGAGCAGTCTGTATACTTTCAAGAAGGGTTTGAAAAGGAAGCAGCCGAAAGAGAAGTCATCAGAGGCACTACCCTCACTGAATGGTTCCAACTGAATGGTAGGGATGTCAGGGCTCATCAGTATTTGTACACTGAAATCCCTCATCATTATGTCTTCGATCCTAAGGAAAAGGTGTGGCGCGATCGCAAAAGAGATACTGGAGCCATCAGCAGAATGTATTCCGTTAGTCCCACCCAAGGAGAACNACCAATGTCAAAGTCAAGATTCTTACTACGGATAAGCAGGGTCAACTCTTGCCCAGATCCCAAAAAATGTTCACACGAAATCCCGTGTGCAAAGAAGTACTATAAAGCCTTCTGTCCGTGGATGCGACCCACATTAAAAAAGCGTGCTTCTTCTCCACGAGGATGTCTTTAAGAAAATCCAGGTGGTTCATGAGAACTTCATACAGCAATACTTAAACTGAGGTGGTCTTTGAGAAAGACTGAGTGGTTGGTGGGAACCTCTTTCACATCAAAAATCAGTGTACAGGGTAGTTCGTGTGCACATAAGCCATGTGAGCAGGATATTTCATGTGTACGAAAGCCATAAAGGTTAGACCCGGAGGATCCGGGCTTCGACTAGTTTTCATATAATGAGCGTTTATGCAGGCAGCACTTTCTCGCATTCTCGATCATTTGCTATACAGTCAGAAAAAATTGGCTTGGAAGTGATAACAATGCGAATTATTTGATCCCTTTAAAACCCTCCCTATCAAACCATTTCTCATTATTTCAAGCAAATGTATTCCCTGTTTGCGTTCCCTGTCAAAAATGTCGTAATAGCTACTTTGCATAAAATTATGCGAAACGTCACAAATTCCCCATAATATTCATTCCTTTCTCATCGCCCAGGCTTCCTGCAGGTGAACAACACGCCGATCACATCCTATATCTGGTGGGGAACGAACTCCAGCCTCCCGGTGGGCCAGCAGAAAGCGCCGAACGGAGGACAAAACAAGAATTGCCTCATTCTCTTGGGAGTTTATTGGTTCGACATCCCTTGCGCTACGAGGCTCCCATTCGTCTGCCAGTACTATTGAGCTCGGACAGAGGTTTCTTTTCTCCCATCCATATTTTCCAATAATCGATACTTTTTCCTTGGAATTTTTTGCTTATGTCGCGAGCGGGATGGCAAGATTTGGGACTTTCTTTGCAGGTCCAGCCTCCCACCACCTCATAAAAATGCATTCATCCTCTCTCATCGATTTTCTCCCCATGCTTCTTCAAGATTCAAGTAATGCAAGTGATGTACTCGCCGGACTTGCGAGACACTCCTTCTGGCTTGGCAGTTGCACGTGCACTCTGATTTCATCGGAGACGAAATCTAATAATCGAAGAAGGGTCATTACATACACTGTTCGTGATTAGCTTATTATTGGTTCGTTGTTTTTGGTGCATTATTTTTTAATTTTCGATTTCAAATTCTGAGAATTATTTAAGTATCATTCATGGAGCATAACGAAAATTGCTTAACTTGCAGCGATTGGCATTCGCCATTTTCTTCTCACCATGTGATTCCGCCAATTTCTATTTCTCTGAATAAACTCTCTACTCTGTCGCTATAAATGGGCAACCAATGACTGAAATATACAAGAATCGACTTTGTTTCCGCTTAGGAAGGCTTAAGATTTGAATTGCGACGATATCTTGATTTTTCTTTTTCTCTGGGAATGAAAAGATAAAAAAAAAGGAAGAATTGAACATAACACATATCTGTGTTCTGGAAGTTGGAAGATAAACAAACAAATTAAACATGAATCATCATTAAATATTTAAGGCTTTCAACGAAACTGGACAAATATCCCAGATGGAAATTTGTCTATAATCGAGAATCGCGTGAAATATTTGACAACAGACTGAAGAAAAGCCGAAGAATCTCTGTGATTTAGAAAGATCCACGACCAAGAATCGAATTTCGAATTTGTGGCTCGATGAGATGACGAACGTGGGAGTCTCCGGTGAATCGAGGCCAATTCCGGGGGAATTGGCTTCGATGAGAATTAACATCGACGGCGGGCGTAGAGTGAAAGGAGAAATCGAGGGCAATTTGCACGAAGGACAAATTTGCACGGATGGGAATCTGGACGAAACGCATTTCGCCCATTCATTCTCCGACTCGGCGCAGCGCTTCCGCGCGAGATCCGGAAGCTTCCCCGCGGCTTCCACCTGGTCCGTCCCCGGAGGAGAATGGAAATCAATTTCCATGCTCCTTTTTACCGGGTTTAACCCTGTAACTGTCGTTCTGGGTCGAATGGACCCTAGTGGAAAAACCAACTTGCTTGTGCTGGTTGAGCTGTGAATTTGAATCTGACACTTCGTATATTTACATAGAGACATTGATAGTAATTAGGCGAAGCATTTTGGAGAGATTCCTTGGGAAAGAAACGACGATTCAATGTTTTAGACACATGAGGCACATGAACGTTCTCGAGATGGATCAACCAGTGTTTAAAGAGGCTTTCTCATAGTTCTCCGATGTTCTAGACGGACATTCATTCAGCGTAAAGAAGAAATTATCTTTAAAATAATATCCTTTCTTCAGTGGCTTGAAACGGTTTGCACAACGGACGCTAGATTTCGTAACACTAGCCACTATGACGAGTCCATAGGCGATGCAGATGCATTCGTCCCATAAATAATCCATTGCACTCCGGGCCCCCCGATCTTTCTTCACAAGCACCGCAGTAATTGAAATTGGAATTGAAAGACAAATTGGTCTAACGGGCCAACCCGTTTCAAGGAGTCTCCAGACAACTCTGACGAGGAGGATGGAGGGAGGATATTTGGGAGAATGGTTCGACTTTCAAAGTGGAAGAGGAATTGAAAAGAACAAATGTCGTATTTACGAAGGAAAGGAAGGAAACAATTACTCCTCCGGGAAGGAATGTAACACGTAATTATTGGAATCACGATGAATGCTAGAGCTCCCCAATCCGTAAATAGGAAGTGGGCCGCCTGAATACGTTCGACCCATGTCGTAGGAGCGGCGGTTGGTCCCCCTCATAACGAAAACAAAGAAGAGGATCTTTAACGTGATGTTTAAAAGTCACGATGGATGGGACGTGAGGGATAAAGTTCTCTGAACATTTCAGGGAGTCCGTACATTCCGGTGCGAATTCGGTAGCTGAAAGTGATTAAACTCGATTGACTGATGGATTATATATGTGGCGAAATCATTTTTTTCTTCAAATTTAACCCATTTCGAAGAAGGCGAAAATCAAAATCAATTTCCAAATCGTTCCCGCCGAAAATCTCCCGATATTACTACGCCGCCAAACGTGCAAAATTTTCCATGTTGCAAAAAAAAAAAAAAACAGCCGCGACTGTGAATCGAATCAGGAAGTTAATTTTTCTGGATTCGCGATACGTGAATTAATTGGCGTTGCTTGACCATTTGTCCTTTTACTAAATACTTTTTTTCTCATATATTCTTAGATAATGTTATATATTTAAGTGTGTAATTCGCCGAGTGACCAGCCAGGACTGTGAATTGACTTGGGAAAGGTAATTTTTTGGGGGGATTCCACATCTGCGGTTTTAGATTGAGTAGTTCCTTGCTAAGAATTGGTTGCTGTTTGCTCGTATCAATCACTTGAATGCCGCGAAATTTTCAGGTTTTTTTCTTGGCCATCATCGGAATGATGGCATCTGAAACGTTCCATTATGATGCAATGCACTATTTTCGATGGCTTTTCGCATCAGCGCGTGAGAGTGCCTGGCCTCTGGGTCTCATCACTTTACCTCCGTCCGAGTCGCTCATGTGTTCTTCATGAAATCCAAAGTTATCGCTTCCTACATTTTTTCGAGTCTGGTTCCATATGGTGTTTGTATATGTTTTGTGTGTATTCGTGGTGCAATACGTATATGACCGGTAGACTAAGCATCCAAGATATGACATTCCTACAATAGGTCCGCTTAACATAAGAATATCCGTAGTCTATCGCCTTGAATCAATGAGTATTTTAGCGCCTCCCTCCTAATTACGCCTCCCGCCTAATTACCTCCCCTGTGAAGAAATCCGCTTTCGTGTGTTCCTCTTCGAGAGTTTTAATTTAAAATTTTCATTATTATTCCAAGCCATTGAGCATTCACATGGAAAAAGAAAATTGTAGATTCCTTGATGGTGTCAAAAAATCAGATGAATAAATTATTTTAATGAGGATCTCAATGCACGCATCGTTTCCACCATCGAGGTGTCGTAATTGGAGGATTTCGGAGATGACACAGGCCCGTATATTTGTATTAAAGGTGATGGCGACCTCGATATCTGTACTGACGATCAAAATCCCATTGGCTTTTGATTGAATACCTACTAAATCCCCCCTCCACTCCTCCACTCCCCACGGTGCAGCCGATAATGGGTAGAGTAAGGAGAAGCAGGCCGAAATGCATCATAAGCTGGACACATGGCCACGGAATCATCATCTAATGTATCAATTTCACGCCCTCAACTGTTCAACTGTCTCCGCCGAAATCTTCAGTGCAAAGCTTCTTCTTGCCATAAAATGCTCAACTCCAAATGGGTCGATTGATTCCTGGCGCTTTTTCGGCTGTACGTTTTGGACATTCCCATATACTGTCCTGAGAAGTGAAAACGCCTGTGCGGCAGAGGGTCAAAATTCTGAGACTGGACATTTTCTAGGAAGGAATTGTTTAGCTAGTCACCAACAAATTCCCGAAAAAGGCTGATGAAGGCACCCAAAATTGCATTAGATAATGAACACAATAATTAATGCCAAAGCAAAGCAGCACTTTCAGTACTCCTTCTAGTTTATTAAGCGGTTTTCAACAGCGATTTAGCCCATTCATTTTCTAATTTCTTTGTAGATGTGCAAACTCCTTTTGCATTTTTTTTCTGACTTAACCTATGATATGTGCCACGTATTGAATAGGGAATGATCCCTGGTCAACGCACGACTGTGGGGTTATTAGGTAATCGGGGGTTCGGTACAGCTAATTCAGGAAAGAAAATCCACCATCGGAATTTCAAAATAATTACACATTCATATTAATAATCAAAATTTAAAGAAAATGGATAATAAAATAAAATAATGGAGGGACAAAATATGCAACTCCAGGGACACAGGAAAACCGTTTCACAGGCAAATCTCTACTTTATCCGCGCCACACCCCCACAACCTGCTCCTCTCTCCTGCTCGCACTATCCCTCTATTTCCTCTTTCGGCGTCCTTCAACTCCTCCTTTTCTCCCAGGGTCTTCCAGGATGGAGTCATGACATGTTATGCATCGTTCGTAAGCCTATGGTCAAGAAGGGTGCATCGAGCAATCAGATTTTAAATATCTTCCACTCGGAATGAGTGACGAGCAATCAATTTTTTCACCGTTATGCTACCCTAATAGAGTCCTGCACGGGCCCATTTCCCGGTACCCAACCCGATAGGCCCGTTTCAAGTCATGGCCCGCGCCGACTCGAAACTCGAATTCCAGCAAAAAATTAGACTCGACTCCACCCGACCCGAAGAAGGATCATGAAAAGGTCGGTCCGTCCGTCAGGTCGGGTCGGGTCGGGCCGGGCGTTCGGGCCGGACCAAAGCCGCGCAGGACTCTAACCCTCTCGGACTGCTTCATCCATGAAACATTTGGAACTCTTTATTCACTCAATGCAATGAAACACCAGACGGGACTATAGAAAGGCATTGTTACATGGTGCGCCTGCGCCAAAAGAGAGGGAACATTTGGAAAAAGTATGCCTAGGCCTAGGTCTGAGGATTAGGCTTTGGGATAATCCACGTAAGTTCCTCAGGCAATTTTTTTGCGAATCGGATGTGAATGTGAATCTGAACAGATGCCACGACTCTTTACATTAACTGTGCAGGGCGCTAACCCCAAGTTCCTCCTAAAGCGAAAACGACTGCTGTTTTACCAACAAACATTTGGAATTATTTATTTATTCCCTGGGATGAAACATGGACCTAAAAAGCTGCATTGCTTACTCAATAGTGTAAAATCATAATATTGTTGGCAGCACGATAAAAAAAATAACGTGTTTACAAACACGTCCCCGTTTATTTTCGTGTTTACACGTTTTTGTGTTGCTAAATAATTCATTCACTGTTCAACAAAAACTGAAAATAAATATGCAAATTGGAGCATGTGAGAAGACCTATTATAGGGCCGTGAGTGTGGTCATGGATAAGGAAGAGCAGAACTATTGTCCAAAGGAGTTCATCGACATCCTCACTCCAGCTGGGCTTCCTCCACATGAATCTATAATCTCCCCTCACTTTAAAGCGTGGTATTATCGTCATGGTCATTAGAAATCTAAATGGTAAGCACGGCCCGACGATGCCTCTCAGGATCAAAGGGTGACAGTTTCCATGCCGTCTTGTTAACGCAATGAAGGTATTAATACAAACCAATTCGATGGAATGTTTTGCCCTTGACACTTGTCGATAGTCATTATCGACAAGTGTCAAGGCAAAAGTGGCAAAACAATCCATCGAATTGGTTTGTATTAATACCTTCATGAGCCGGTATTTTTCCATGGACAGTTGTATTTAGGTTTTTCCAGAGTGTGGCACTTGCAAAACGTCAATATGAAGATAGAGCCTAGACCCCGATGAAGCCGATACCCTGGCAACGAAACAACCTATACACTGAATGTCGTATTCCGATAGGTTTTGAATTGAAAATACGGAACAAATTTTTAAAAGTCCATTTCAAATATTCATAAAATGTTTCATGTTCTTCAATGAAAATCAAGATACAAAAGTTGCTGTAGCTCCTATTATATAGTGGAGTTCAAAAATGTTTCCTTGCGACCATATACCTTCAGGAAATGAAGGATCTCCTGTAAAATATGGAAATTGCTACATTGTAATTTCGTGCGATTTGCGCGGGGCACAGCTAGTTCTCTAATCGTGCCACACAAACGTCGACTTCGAAACAGCTAGAAAATGACCTCGCGTCGATGATCATCATGAAAGACAGCGAAAATAGAGTTTGAGTCATCCTCATCTTGATTCCTCTCAGGTACCAAGAACCGAGGCTGAACGTCCCGCGTACACAATGCAAATAAAACAAATTTATTATACGATGAGCGGTAAACAAGACTGCGCATGGGCTGGGCCATGCAGCGTGTACACGGGATTATAACAAGTATGTCATGTTTACCGAATGGAACGCAGGCCTGGGTGCCTTTTGCGTTCTGAAATATAAACATGGAAGCTTGGCCTTGAGATCACTCCAACTGCAGACTGCCTTCCAGTCTCCTACATGCGGCCATCTCGCGAGTGTCGAGAATCAGCCAAGAGTTTCCTGTGAGTGGTTGATAATATCGTCTCTGCGACAGGAATTTTGGTGTTTGGGTGTCTTAAGGGTTTATTGGGTTGGGGCTTCCTTTCTGTGAAGGATGGTGGTTCATTAACAATTAACAATAGTGAATCGCAGACCTGGTATGCGAGAATTTATTATATTTGCTATTTGCTAGAACAAATTCTTTCCATTAAAATATATATTTTTAAAATATAGAAACATCATGACTTGGTTGTTTCCGCCTAATGATAATACCGTATGCCTCACGCATGCACAAAAACTTTCTACACTTAGCAAAACGCTTTCTTAGCAACTCTTCGGCAAAAGGACGAAACTACATCATCAGACGTTGACACATTTCCTTTTTGCACACGCACATTTGCGAATTTTTATCAGTTTACTTCATTCAGGTTGAATTTAAATTTTTTTAAAACCATGAAGCAACGATTCTGAACCTATGTACCTACCGTTTTCGTTTCAGGCCTGAAAACAAGTCGAGGAATCTGTACATCAATATGAGCGGAATTCCATGTCTCTTGTTTGCACTGATCCTATTAACCGAGCACGGGTCTGGAAACGTAAGTCGAACCTCATCCGTGGTCAAATTCCCCTTCGCGCATTTGCTTGGGAAAATGTCATGTTTCATTAAAACAACTTTGGAGTTTTTTTCAGCTCTCATGTTTTCGGGGCAAAAAACAAAACTGTTTTGGGCTGCTGAGGATTGCGATTTTCCCTCTCGGAATATAAGATAATTTATACATGGGTTTTGGCATGAAGGCATTCATGTGATGAAAATAGTTTCAGTAATTCTGGCATTTCCCAGGCACTCGAAAGCACTCCCATCCATGGAGGGGATATTAGAGGCAACTTGGAAGAAATGGTGTTAGTTCTGTGGAATGAGAGGGAAAGCCTCAGGGACGACTACAAAAAATTGAAGAATGACTTTGAAAACATGAAAAAGGAGCACGAAGACCTCAAGTCTAGCTTCCTGGAACATCTCTGGGAAAGAGACCAATTTCAACTTCAACTCAACACAACAGAAGGAAGACTCCAATATCTGGAAGCTATTAGTCTGCAAATAAGTGAGTGATGATTTGATGAAACCCTTCGATCATATTTGACGACAAACATCAAATAATATAAAAATGTAATGGTCAGCTAATGGTTTTAAAATGTTTGTTCCGGTATCCGCAACATGCCCTATCACTTCATGTAATGCATCGTTTACTGGAAAGCGACTGTTCACAAATGTCACCACTTCATTGAGCGCAGTTGGTCTTCGTCGATGGTTCTAACTATATTGGGAGCATTCAGCGATAAGCATCGTACAGTATTGAAATTCCCTGACGACAAACATATCCGCAACACATTGATTCCTTCCAATAGAATGGCTCCAGTGTTGGGGACGACGAAACTTTGCCTTAAGCCCGATCTGTTTGGACACGAGATCCTGCGCGGCGCATTGTCGCGATTTAGGCCGAGCCGCGCAACTTTCTCCATCATAAGCGCCCTTCGAACCCTTGGCCTACCAACGGCCTATGCGCTCTCACGTGCTTCGCGGGTATATGCACGCGAGTCAAAGTCTCGCTATCATGTAACACCGTTCTCGAATAGAGAAAGTTCTTCTGTAACTCATATATTTTGCCTTCTGGGAGTAACTTCATTACTATGAGCTGCACTTTATAGAACGCTTATTTGATCGTTAGCATCGCCTTTGAACGAATAATGCGCCAGCGCATAGTGGACAGCTCAGACAGAAGTGACAGTAGCACTTCACCCGATATGTAATAATACTTCCTTGAATTCATGGCAGTGATATTACATACTGTTGTCACCCGAACTGCAATTTCTGTACGAAATGCTCTAATGTGTCGTCTTCATTTGATAACCCCTTGCTTAGAAGTACGCCTGTTTTTCCAACTGAGGACGGCAATGTATTTATTCTTTCATCGCAGCTCCCCGAACGTGTCAGACGCTGGCAGACTTGGGGGTGACACGGACAGGAGAATACTTCGTAGATCCTGACGGAGTCAGGATCGGCGATGCACCCATCAAAGTGCTCTGTGATATGGAGACAGGTCGTTGAAACAAACAATATTTCTGTCATTAGCAAAAATAATTTAATCTCTTTTTTTTCCTCCGGCTCACGCTCTCTCAACTATGCCGCTATCTAGATCCAGTGTCCACGATTGTCCTCCATGATTCGATGGAAAACACTGCGATCGATCGATGTCCTCATCCTGGATGCTACAATCGCAGCTTAAGATATGATTCGTCGATGAAACAGATGGTGGCATTGATCCAGCAATCGCAGTCGTGCGAACAGCATATCACAGTGAGTCGATCCTGTCTTCTCGGGACTTTGAATTGTCATATAATGATTACCATTTCAAGAAGTCATACTTTATTATCCTTTCAAAAAATTTAAACAAGTTTTACTTGGAAAACACGTTTGGCAAGGCCAGTCCATTGGTGGGTCCCCTTTCAGTTAAGGAAACCCTCATTTCATCGCCTAATTGAACAAAATGTCTTCTCATCCCGGTCTTTCACATACAAAACACAATTTCTAATTTATCCGTGGTAAACATAGAAAAACGATGACCAGAAAGGAGGGAGGGCTGTGTATAGTTAGATTCATCCGCAACGAAGATAGCTATGGTACTGACAGCTCTGGTTGCTGACACGCCGCGGCGCCTAAAACCTGGGTCATCAACGCATGCGCATTGTGGTCCAGGACCTGAATAACGAACAGGTACTCATTCCTTTCTCTCCGCGGTCAAATTTCAAATCCGAAATGTGCAATTAAAATTTCAATTTTGGTTCGTATTCGCCACAAAACGAAACTCGGCTTGCATCTTGTTCATATCTACCCGCTTGCAAATGTTCAAATTGCTCAAGCCAATATCCAATTTAATTTTCGTTGGACAAACAACATGAAGGTGCGACCGTTGCAAGTTTGGTTCCCTGAAGGGGGGAGAAATTCACTAGAATTTAATGTTGCTGCCAGTATATGCACATCTCCCGAATATTGCTCAAAAACCTGAAAGAAGCATCTGCATTCAAGTGCGCTCTTCTTTGAGCGAAGTTTAATTGTCAATAATAATTGTCGGCTATATCGGTCAGGGATTCCTGAGAGAAAAGTGACTATAGAGTACTTCCAACTTTGCATAGTTGTAAATGTTTCCCACTCAGCATTGACCGTGTCTCTCTTCAGTATGACTGTTTTTCCTCGGCCCTCACAACTGGAGTCATACACTATGCATGGTGGGTGGACCGTCACGGCGAACCACAATACTACTGGGACGGGTCAAAAGCAGGACAGCACAAATGCAACTGCGGTCTCTCTGGCAACTGCACAGATACAAACTTCCCTTGCAACTGTGATGCAAACACCCCCCATTGGGAATCAGACAAAGGAGCAATAACGAATGCAACAGCATTACCCATAACCGAGTTGCGCTTCGGTGGACTACAATTGGAGGGGCAGAAAGCGAATTACACATTGGGTGGATTGACTTGCAAAGGCAAGATTCCGTCCCCGGAAAATCCAGCACAATCCTGTTCAACTCTTCGCCAAGCTGGAAACGGTCATCCTGGTTATTACATGATCGACTCCAAGAAAATTCGCTTGGATATTGTTATGTGCCGGATGGATTTGGAGGAGACAGACCAGAAGTTTCAGGTGGAGACTAGTGTACATATTGCAGAAGAAAGTACCGCTTCTCTCTTAGATGTCCAATCAACTACCTTTCATCTGCTGAAACAAGATGCGATACTGTGGCCTCTTGCTGGAACTGGGAAGGATGTAGTAAAGGCGATGAACGCGGTGGATTGCGGCTCCATTTGCCATTCCCTTCGAATATTTTGCGATGCCTTCAACTGGTATCCTAGAAATTTCACCTGTGAGATCGTGAACACTCAAAGCGCTACGTTACAAGATGCCCCTGGTGCGATGGTCTATGTCAGTGGTGAGCTTACATCATTTCAATCCATCATATTAATATTTCAGATTCATGAATGTAATTTTACCTTAACCTTTCGGTTTCTTCAGCATCCAATGTTTGCCAGACGCCTCCTCCTTCGATGGTGAATCGAACGATGAATTTCTCGCACGGATGGAACGGCAGACTCCCGGCGCACTTGCTCTCCGAAGTCTCGTATGATTGCCTGCGGCATACCCGTTGTCCACCTCCTCTCCCCCTCAAGGCCAAATGCTTCGGCTCCGACACCTGGGAAATCCTGAATCTGAACGTCACGCCGCCTTGCCCGGGAAGCGGTTGGCGTTGTTTTTCCGATCTTGAAACATTTTCCATTGAGACACCAATGTTTAAACACTTGCTTCCATCGCAGTTCCTCTGGCAAAAGGTTACAAGTTGTTTCAAGAAGACGGTCGGTTTTATAAGAGATACTCGGAGCGACTGAACTGGACCGAGGCGAGTCAGGTCTGCTGCCTGGATGGAGCCCGACTCGCTTCCGACACGAGCCCCACAGTCTACAATGCAATCAGAAGTGTTGCCACCAACACCGATACGTGGATCTGGCAAGGCGCCACCGACGAACTCGTGGAGGGCACGTGGATATACGAAGAACCAAGTGAGTCTGAATCCATCACATTTGGTCTGCATCATTGAGAAAATGCTTTAAATCGGTCAATGTACCATTTTCGTCTTGCATATTTTGCAATCTCATGCCGTCAGCGGTTATGTATCATTTAATGGAGGGCAGTGACACCGTCAAGCATGAAAAATTGCATATTACTAGTGTTTCTGTAGGCAGTACCTCTTCGCATTCTTGTTCATTTGCTATACCATATGAAGAAATGTCATGCAAGGAATATTGCAGTTTTTCGCGATTGCTAGAGCGCTATTTCATATCGTGATGGAAAATTTTCAAAACCTAAGGTACGCTCCGCAAAACTCTGCGCTCTTTTATCACATCCGTGCTTCCGATAGTCAAAAATGCGTCAAAATCAAAGTACGCTATTCAATTTTCTAACATACGGCGTTAGGAATGACAATAGATGGTAAAGAAGAGACCGTGAAAATATTTCTTCTGGAGATTCTCTGAATCTCAATATGCATTCCAGGTTGCAATATCTCTTTAGGAGACATGAATAGAAGCAGAATGAATCCTTTCAGTCGGTTTCTCTCATTTTTGCGCTCAAATCAAAGTCATGCGACGAAAAGAACATTTCGGGACCTTTCGTATTCCTTCTTGTCATTGATTTATCGCTTATGAATCATGAAGAAAGAAAAAAAAGGACGATAACATGTGAGTGAGGGAAAAACTCCATCTCTCCCGAACCATGGAGACATAGCATACGCTACACGTGTATGTCACTGCTTCTAGTATGGAGATGAATAGAAATTCATTATAACGAACTGTAAGCCCCCAATAAACGCAATTTATAAGGAAAGGGTAGAAATATTTAGGTTTCACATGGAGGAAACTATGTGAGCTTCTCGCAACGATAGGCCAGACTATGGCAATGTACAATGCCCTCATGTGCGTATTTGCGATTTCTCGTTGAAAGACTTTCAAAACTCAACGTACACACGCAAAAACCGTGCGTCTTGTTGCCTAGATTCGATTTCCGCAACCCAAAAGTCGAAATAGAACGTACAATTTCAAACGTACATGGAGCCAAAACCTAAGTCACCTTCAGCAAAACTCTCAGGACGATCCACTGCCGTGAATGGGAAGAGGCCGAGCCTCGCGGATCGATTTCCCTGCCGATCGGCCGTACCTAGCGGAATCGACCCCTCCCCAACCTCCCCAATGTGTTCCACTGGAGCGCAGGCTACTTCTTGATGCAAAGGCCTTAAATTCTTTATACAGGGAAACTGTAATGGAACGGAAAAACTAATGGAAATTCTTAATCTCTTCAAATGTCATCCTATCAAACCATTTGTCATTATTTCAGGCTAATGCGTTCCGTGTTTGCGTTCCTGGTCTGAACTGTTGTAACAGGTACTTTAATCAAATTTTGCGAAACATTGCACTGCCCCCCCCCCCCCCACCTTATTTATTCAGTCCCAATCGTCCAGGTTTTCGTCTGGTGAACAACACTCCGATCACAAACTATAATCGTTGGCATGAGGGCAATCCGGAAGGAGGACGAAGTCAGAATTGCCTCGTTCTTGATGGTGTGTATTGGCTTGACAGCTATTGCTCCGAGAAGTACCCCTTCGTCTGCCAGTACTACTGAACTCAGATGCAAGTTTCTCCTCGCGCCTCGAAATGTTCTTAAATCGATCCTTTTTCCTTGGAATTTTGCGTATTTCATGAGGACAATGGCAGGATTTTGGACTTTCAGCCGTGGTGCCGCCTCTCCTTTCCTCCCGAAAATAAGTCACATCCCTAGCATCGTCCGGATCATTCTCCCCTTGCTGCGACGACGTTGAAGCAATGCAAGTGATGAACTGGCCAGAATCGCGAGACTCTCTGGTGTTCGCAGTCGAACGTGCAATTTCCTCACGGGTTCCTCTCCGCTTCACTTTCAAATGCTTCGGAATGTTGGTAATGATGATTTGTGTATTGTTAGATTTTGTCGGTGATTCACTAAGTTCTTGCGGGCCATCTGAATCATTTCACTGCGATATTTTCATCCTTTTTTTGCAATAATCGGAAAAACGTTCATTTTTTCAACATGCACGCATTTTCAAGAATACATCGCCGTTGCACAGGCGAAATTGTGCTTTTTCTATTTCTTCGCGCCAAAAGGCAAAACTCTTTCAACGTGCTCGTTTTCTTGTGACTTACCCATATGTATAATTTTGCCCATTTTGCCAGTATTGGCTGACAGGGCCAGCATTGGCTTTCATGGCCAGCATTGGCTTTCATGGCCAGCTGTCATTCCTTTCGGGATAGTGAAAACATTGAAGACGAGTATTTATGCAGCGCTTCTCCTTAGTAGAGGTCGATTCCCCGGAATCTCTGATTTCTCATCAAAATGTTCAGTCGATTGTTGCCTCGTGGCTCTCTCTTTCGTAGTCGCACTTGAATGGAGGCCGAGGAGGAAGAAACCAGATGGCGCTGACTTCCAAATCGCCCTTCATGCTGCACTCGCCTGTCGCAACATCAACTGGCTGGCCTTTCTCGTTGCCAACCCTGGCAAGGAGAAAGGCCAGTCGGTTCGCAGGGTTTCGAGGAAATTATCCTTCCGCATGCTCAGTCATCAACGGAAATTGTGTCTTTTCTTATTAATGGCTGGAAGGTCAGTTTTTTGGCTTTAACATTTCAGGGAGGAGAGCAGAGCAGAAGCCAGGTAATTGATTTCCCGGTTCTGGGAATTCCTGGCCTTGAGTTTCGCTATGTCCCGGGCTGAACCGAGAAATCCCCCTGGCTTCTTTAGCATGATATATTTTTTTCAACGTTCAAGTGTTGCACGGCCCGTCGGCTCTGGCCTTATCGAATTCTGGTTTGCATAACGTATTTTTTTCGCTCCGTTCTTGATGCTTGGTAATTGGAACTTGGAATTCGTACTGGCGATGCGACCGGCCCCAGATGGCGAAAGAGGGTGATCTGCTTCTCGAGAGCGGGAAGAGTTATTATGTTGTTCCAATAGTTGCGAAAATTGACAAGATTATAAAGGGTGTTAGTGTTTCAGGTAGTTTCGAGGTGACTTCCATGTGGTTTGGAGAACTTAAAATAAATTATTGCCCTTAATTCCTTGAGTTCTTTGACCGGTCTGGCTTCGATGGCGATCTCGCAAATGCTTCCCCGATGTCATGCATGAAGATTAAAATTATTGGTGCAATTCTCTGATGAATCTCTTCATTAGGCGAGTCAGAGCATATCATAAGAAAAAATCAGAATGGCGCAGATGATTTTAACCTCTCTGTAAGTGTGGTTAGTACGTCTCCCCCCTCGCCCCACCTCGCCCTCCCCCTTCCCTGCCTGGAGCACGATCATTTTGGAAGAAATATTAGATTTCCCAGCAAATATTTAGTTACAATTTTCTTTCGTAACGTAATTCCTACCCGAATTTTTGAAACACGTCCGAATGATTAATAGCGCTGAAAGCTGCCCATCCACCCGAACCCCCAAAGAGCCCCCGTAGATGGATCCACGTCGATGAAAAGAGATGATTCGCTCGACGGGCAGGATTTCCGGTGGATCCGGAGTAATTTGTCACCATTGAAAGGTGATCCGCATCGGCACCGGAGATGGAGGGCTCAATGGTCAGCATCGCCCTCCAATGGGAAGACAGCTCCCCAAGCAGCATGTTCACGCAAACAAGATATCAATTTTTTGTAAACAATGTAAATTTCTTGAAAATGACATGAAAATGACATCACGTTTACGTAAAATTTACGTTCCTATATTTACGTCGCCAAAGTGTACGTGTATTTTACATCA